CCAATCCTATTCAAAAGGCAGCTTCAACATGGGAGAGGATCTACTCTCTGTGATGAGACACCCACCAATCATGACATGGAACAAGAGGAAGAGCATCTCAGAGGGAACGAGGGAAGGAAGGTACCAGTAAGACAGGAACAACCCAAGTTCTCATTTCGATATGGCTGTGTGGACATCCTTCCATCTGAATAAGGATGCTATAACAACATCACAAGCCTGGTTCTGAATGCTCCAGTAGGAAAACACTCAAATATTCTACAGTATTCTCTGTGTATCTTTAATTCTGCATCGTTATCATTATGTATACGACAAAGGTCAGAGTGAAATACCAAATGCTGCTAAAACAACTTCTAAAAATTAAATCTTGATCTTTCATTCTTACAGTGAACAATCTGGAGCCTTTTCATCTGAGTTCAGATGACACTATCTGAGTGAAGAATCCACTCTCTCACTAGGCCAAAGTCTTCTCATGTTTGACTTGGTTCTATCCAAAATGGCTGCAAAAAGATGGCTAGAATAACTTATTCACTGATTTGTGGAAAGTGCTGGATTGCATATTGTATTGAAATAAAAGCCACAGAGTAGTTCCATATCCTGTAATTACATGTTAACAATAGTCTTCCTAGAAATACAGCCCAGAAATAACTGCACACCAGATGTCAAATAAGAAAGCAATGAAGACCAAGTTCAAGATTACAGAAAAAAATAAAGACAAGTGCAAATATTAAGCAACAAATCACAACTGGGTTTGTTTCGTAAGAGGACTTCTTTGATTCCCCACCCCACCCCTTATAAATGGTATATACATATACATATATGGTATATACATAACTGCCCAAGGCCTTGCTTCTTGCAGCTAAAAGACCCGATGCTAGTTATTGTTAGACATTAGAGAAGATAAAACCTTTCAATGTACTCAAGGGTTCTGGTGTCTGGACCAGATCCTGTAAATTGTCAAACAGTAACTCTTGAGCAAGTTATAGGTGTCCCTGAACTACCAGCCTGGAGTCAGGTCTGGTGGTTTGGGCATACAATTTTTTGCTGCCTGCCTCTCTTCACTCAAAATAATTTATATTTTCAATGAACGCTTTCCATCTCCACAAGCTAAACTCCAGGCATGGACCAGAAAAGCCCATTTGTTGAGCAAAGGATGGAGTTACGCTTATCAGAGAACTCCCATTTTCAGAGGAACATTAGATTTTAAGGTGTTTTTTTTTTTTTTAGAAAGTGAGTTAATTTAGTTTTTAATCCATGCAAACTATGAAGATCATCTTCCAATTATGACCTGACTATGAACTGAGGTAGTACTATACTGGGAGGTTTGCCAGAGGGTGACACCAATACTGCTTATACTGCTTTTAGGAAGTGGAGTAGGATTCCCCAAAGACTCTTTGAGTCTTTTACCTGCTGGAAGAGGAGTACCAGTGAGATGGCATGTTAGATCAGGCATGGCAAGAGGATCTGTATGCGTCACTGTACTAACATCTACACGAGTGTCTTTTGCAGCATGAGGATTAAATTCAGGAAGGCAGGTCCATGTCTAGTTAAGTACCACTAGTCCAGCTCCTGCACAGACCCCAAGCATGCAGCTTTCAAAGCCCAAAAAGCAGTTTGTGTCAAGGTGGCCGGAAACCTCTGGTGCCTCAGAGGCAGCCCTCGAGGTGCTTTCAAGCAGCACCACCCAAGATGTCACACAGAGGGTTTATTGTCAGTTTTCTTCATAAGCTATGTAATCTGTAAACTACGATCTAGAAGCACTCAACGCACTCCATTTCTGTCGTCCCAGTGGAAACTTGTGTCCTTACAGTCACTGTACAAAAAGGATCTTTACATGAGACAAGACTATCAACTTCTTACAGCAAGGCATGTTTCAGGAACAGAAGCAGCACCACCCCATGATTAGCATCACTGAGATTACCCCATACAAACCATTACTCGGGAGTAATATTTGGGTTTAGAGTTCAGCCACAACCTTCATACCATCAGCAGGTATCTAGCCATCAGGACAAAAATCACAAACAGCTACTATGCACATGCAGTTTTATTACACAATATTTTATTGTCCCATTACTTTATCAGGAAACCTTGCAAGGCTGCACTGCATTCCTAAGTCCCATGGGTTTAAAAAAAGAAAAAAACTCAAACCTCAAAGGGTCGGTTGCTGACCACAACCAAAAACCACACACAACATAACTTGGGTTAATAAAAGCACACACCCTACTGTTCTAGGGTGGTTTTGAGGATTCCCAAGAAGGGTAGACACATATACACAGATTACAAGGGGAAAAGCAATAAGAGTTTTATTACCTACAAGCATGTGTTACACTGAGGGTCTCTTGCAAAGCAATTGTCTTACCGACGCGAGGACTGTGAGGAAGATGGACCATCCGTACATTCTTGTGTTGTCCTGCGCCGCACGCTCAGCCCAGCAGTCAGTAGGTGCCAGCTTTACGTGGGCGTCCCCACGGAGGCAACAGTGGCCTCACCGTACACCAGCCCCCTGCTCTTTGGGAAATCCCGGTATTTATACATTTGCAGAGGAGTGGGTTTCGACACACGTGGCCAGCGAGTGCCAAAACACGCCTCTGTTGCTGACTCTCAACATAGGGAGGCTACGGCGCATGCGCCCGCTGGTCAGGCGCGCTGCGCGCACCATAGCCATCCCGTCTATTGGTTCGTAGGCTTTGTGTACGCGGCATATTACCATAATCCAGCAGTCACATATCAACCATGCTTAAGCCAACAGCAGGATGTTGCAAGGATTCCTCCCTCCACGTTCTCCCCTAGTATTGTTCAACTTTTTTATCTCTGTGGGAAACCATCTGGTTTCTCTCACCCAGCCTGTTACCTACTTCTCACCCAGCTATATCTTTTCTCCTGTGCTAACTGCAGTGTTCTCATGGACTAAAATTCCAGCTTTTAACCCCTCTGCTGCAGTTTTCTTGGCTACCTACTTCTTACCCAGTGTCCAACTATGGACCAAAATTCCATCTTTTAACCCCTCCATATACACCTACACAACACAAGGTATCTAACATCTACCCTGCAGGCAGAAAGTTCCTGTTCTTTCAGTATTGACTTCCTCAATATTTGTTTCCTTAGGAGCCCCAGATTGCTTCAGAACCAGTTTCCACAAGAAAAGACAAGAGGTCACCGCCTTTTCAGAACAGCTCTGAACACAAAGACTATAGGATTACATCAGTGCTCATCTTGGCAAAGATACTATGTGTATCACTAAATAGGGATTTTCCACTGTGGTAACCCTGTGCCAGCATTTGAGCCCATGTACTTTTAATGAGTTTCTCATTATAGTTTTATCCAGTTTTTGTCTCAATTATTTTTCGTGTTCCCATCAGAGATTATAAAGAATTTCCCTGAGATGCCATTATATGAAAAGAGTATGGTACATAAACAAAGTGCAAGCAAAAATATCGGTCACTGTAGGTAGATGTCACAAAAATTACCTCCTTATGGACAGAATTGTTATAGTTGGTCAATTTTAAAAACTGTTTCAACAAAATAGATACCACAGAAAAAGAGGAATTAATATTAGTTTTCATTTGTCTTAATAGCAATTAAATTAAGGACACAGTTTAACAAAACACATGAGGTATCTCTCCAGGTTTCAACTACATACTAAATGTCCTGAGAAAACGTATTCTGGATTTGAACCTTGTATATCTGCAACACTCACATTACCAAGTACCCAAAAGCGTTAAATACTTCCTTAGCTTAGAGTCTCCTTGAAAAACATGTGTCATCTCTTTTATGTGTATTAATGTAAGAACGTAGTCTCAAAAGTTATCTCATTATAAAGAAAACAATTATTACAATCAGCCCTGTAACCTGAAATTCTCATAATTATCTAGCAATGAAACCTGCCTTTGAAAATGAAGGCTGAGGAATGTAACCATATTATGATTGTTACATGACTTGTTTTCTTAACAGCAAATGAAAGGTAGCAATTACAATAAACTACTTGTCAAGGTCTGTGATTTCATTTATGTAAACTAAGAAGTTAAATCCTTCCTTCTTAGAAGATCCTCAGAAAATGGTAAAACCTAGGTTTACCAGAATTATAAAGAATTCAGCAGGTTCAAGGAAACCTCTAATTTACTTGGAAAACATAGGAATTATTTTCTCTCTATTCTGATGTTCCACAAAGCAAAGCAGCATCCCAGGTATTAAACTACCAAGTGTTGTTAAAAGGGCACAAGGAAAAGTATCTGTAAAGGTCACCAAAACCAATGAGGACAGATTACTCTTTTCTTACTCTGTAACACATTAATCACTAGAGGTGGACCAGTCCATATTAGCCATATCAGCTTTGACCTCCAGCTTCTCATCCAGTTCCCCTCTGCAGGTCGCCCACAGCCCCAGAACAACCTTGAGGCAATAGCACACCTAAAAGCCCTACCGCCAGCCACGATAGCAAGAGCAACTGCTGCATCAGCAGATAAAGACAGGTGGTGAGTGGTGTGCACCCTTCTTTGTACCAGAGGTCATGCTGGGGTAACACACACACCAGCCAAAAGAAGTGCCAAAGCATAGAGCAGAAGGACAGACCAACTAGAGGACCTCAGCTTGGTCTAGCACCCAGTTTTTCTCAGTGCTTACAGAAGTCATGGAGAGTCTGTTCTCTGTGGCTTGTTGCAGATTTTGATCTGTCCTGAAGGTGCACACTGTCAGAAACTTTCACAGGCATCTCATTGCATCACTGTAATTCCTCTTTAACATCAATTAGGAAGAAATTCTCTATGTTGTCTTCAGAACCCTAAAAGGCAAGAGCAGACTGGCTCATTGTTTCAGCTTTGACTAACACAATAAAATCTGGTTGACGATCACCTCAGAGGAACTGATGATAAGAAACAATTATCCATCAGTAATTTACCTGCACCCAGGCATGTAATTTTTACAGGTATAATTTAATTCCATGTTGAGGCATAGTAGAAGTTTACTCTCAAAATTTGTAATAATACAGTGTTTCTGTCATTAACGACTTTAGTTTCAACAAGTTGCTGCACTGCCATCAAAATATCTGATTTAAAAGCATATCTCAGCCTAAAGAGCTTGGAAGTTTTTGGAAAAATAAAATCTTGAATTTCCTTTCATTCTGATCCAATGTTTGGCCTCCTCTTCAGCTTAATCCAGATGCCATTACTTGGACGAAGAATCAGTTCTCCAGTTATACCAAGCTCTTCTGGCTTTTGACATGAGTCCACCCAAAAGCGCCGCAGGATGAGGGCTAGAAGAGCTTTCTCCTCCATTTGTGCAAAGCGCTGACCTATGCATTATAGGGCAGCAAAAAAAAAAAAAAAGATGTTATTGTCAGGTTGCATCAACAGTTGTTGCATTCGCATGCTCACAGTGATACCCCTAGGAACACAGGACAGCCAGGACCATGCATCTGCCTTGAGAACAGAACTGGCTTTAGGCCAAAATCGAGGTCATATGGATATTACTGAAACTAACATTTTTCTCAGCTACCTACCAATGCAGTTCCTGGGACCAGCAGAGAAGGGCACATAAGCATATGGGTGCCTTCCCTTACAATTTTCTGGGAAGAATCGCTCGGGCCTGAACTCCTCTGGGTCAGGGAAGATCTCTGGGTCTCTGTGCAGGGCATAAGTTATGACAATAACATTTGTGCCTTTTGGTATCTGATATCCTCCTACAAAGAAAAGGGAAAGGGAGAAGCAGGGTCAAAACAACAGCAAGTAAGTGACATTCTATACACAACAGCACAGTAAGAAAATAAAACAATGCTGCCCCTCACTTGGTAAACACCGTCATTGAAGAGATGCTAGCAGGATAGGAAGTCGCAAACACAGGACACTACTTACTAATACAGCAATCCTCTCTCAAGACACGGGCAAAGAGCGGAACTGAAGGGAAGAGCCGAAGAGCTTCTTTCACTACACACTCAAGGTATCGAAGCTTCTTCAAATCCTCCATTGTAACAGGACGCTCAGTGTTGCCTGTCCAAAAACAAATAGGAGGATGAGCAAGACCAGAAGTCCCCATTTTTGATTAAACAAAATTCATCCCAGTTCCCTCCAGGAACTCTCATCATGCACCAAGACCACATAGGAGAAGGCGCTACACTTAACATTGAACACACATGCCTTGCCCCAAAGACATAAGGTTGGCCGTACTCTCCTACAGACCTTCCAGCACCCATCCCAATCACCTCTAGCTATTGAAAACTCCAGAAGGGCCACAAGGCATATTCCTATCTCCCCTTCTATATCTAGGCTTATAATGTACAACATCCCCACTCACAAATGCCACCACCACCACAACCCCAGCAAAGGGAGGAATGGAAATGTACCAAACACCTCGTCCAGTTCTCTGTGAACCTTCTTCTGGGCTTCTGGATTATGTCCAAGTAAGTACAGGGCCCAGTTCATAGCAGCTGCTGTTGTGTCATGGCCCTAGAGGTCCAGATTTACAAAGACATTAATTTCAACACTATTCAAGGGCACAAGTAGGCTTTGTAAACACTTAGGTGTGCTGGTAGTATGGAAAGTGAGACTTATTAGTCTCATGACCATGACAAAAAACAAAATCAAGAGTGAAGAACTTTATCCAACACACTGAGTATCAGGATATAAGATGACACATGATTCCATCAGGTGCCTGAAAACTGACCAGAAAGGAAAAGTGTTGAAAATAACCCAAGCAAACATCCCTCTTCTCTGCCTCCCAGAAGCTGCATGAGCTATCAGTATCTACACAACAGAAACAGATATACATTCATCTTTTTGGTTACTGGCCAGTCAACAACATAACATCTGGAGGCATCAACCACTACCACAGGAGAGATACAACAGACATGATCTGTAACCTTTACAAAATATCCTAAAAAGCACCTAATGAGACACAGTACAGTGGCCGTAGGAGGGAATACTTCTTGGTTACCTGTGAGAAGGGGATCAGTTACTACAGTGCTCAGCACTGCATAAAAACTTGGAAAGGTAAGGAAACAAAGGGAAGGGGAACTCCCCAAAACTAAAAAAAAAAAAAAAACAAACAAAAAACAAACCACAAACAAACAAAAAAAACAAAACAAAAAAAAAAACACAAAAAAACACCCACAAAAAACAAAACAAAAAAAAAAAAGAGGTGAACAGAAAAGGGAAAAGTTCACCAACAAAGGATTTTGGTACTAAAAAGGTGCACTTCTTGTGAAATTCAGGATGCTGCACCTCTTCAAAATCCAGCTATGGAGTAGTACAGGAATAGTAAGATGGGAAGAAAGTTTCTGCAGGTTACAACAGCAGTAATATGACTCTGAATTAAGCTCTTCTGAGATAGAATTCAGGTCCACCTAATGGAGGTGTGTGGAAAACTTGTGGAAGTCTTACTTAGATCCTATACTGGACAAGGAACCAGACATGAGAAGAGAGCACACCAGTGCACAGTTGATGGCATAACCAGGAGGCTACAGCCAACATGGCAAGGGACAAAATGTGAGGAGAGCTGACAAAATGCAAGGCAAAACACTGAAACCATTTAGAGATCTCTTCCCCATTAATGAGATTTGCAACAGGAGCTGAGAGCCCATGGCCCACACCAGCCATTAAACTCTTATTACTCACCTGCTTTCACAAGTAGAGCCTGCTTCACACAGGCAGGGTCTGCCACGTGTATTGCCCAACATTTTGCCAGGGCACACAGTTCTGGATCAAATGTTTCTATGCTTCCGTAGTTCCTACCCTACAGAGATTTCCTCTTAGGCTTCCAGGGCTAAAATAACTTAACTCAAAAAGCAATCTCCTGAACTAAGAAAAGGAAGAGTCACTACCTGCAAATGGTAACTCTCAGGTTCTGGGGGGGAAAAAAACAACCACCAAAAAATCCAACCCCAAAACAAAACCCAAAAAACTAACAGGTTTCTCAGGTACCTCAAACATGAAAGTATCCACTTCCTCACGAATATCCCTGTAGCTCAATTTGTTCCCTTCCTCATCTGTTGCATTCAGCAGCATGTCCAGGAAAGCTTTTCTCTTTTTGAAGCCACTTTCTTCACAGTTGCCATCAATGTCACATTTCATTTGCTTGGTGTTTTCAAGTTCTGCAGCTTTTTCTGCAATGACCTGAGATTAGAACCATTACATTAGCTATGATGCACACAGCACTTGTGCATGGGTACATCTATACCACATAGGTTTGTCACAACTTATTAAAACAACATCCATCTGTAGCAGTTTACATGAGCTAGTCAGCATAGCTGTCAGCATCAGCTCATGAACTTTAACTGACTTTTTGTGTTAGTAGGTGAAATATGACCAACCCCTCTTGTCCCAAGCAATAGAATGAACCTTGAATAGCCTTTGTATGATGAAGAAAATAGATAGCCAAACTAAGCAAGTAACTTGTTGATCATCAAGAAGTATAAGAACGTTCAGAATATCTGGAACAAACCAATCATGAATGCCAACAATAGTGACAGCAAATGAAAAAAATCACCATAATTTGAACAGACTGATCACCAAGAAGATATTCTCTACCCTATCCAAAAACTAAGGAAAGGATCACATCTCCAACCTCTGGGAAACCCAGGACATTGACGAGAAGCCAAGGCACCCCACAACCCTGCACCACGACTACACATAGCATGGTTGGAACCACTATCCTAAAGCTTCCCAAATTTTTTTCAGTATGAGAGCAATAGTTGAACTTCCCTTTTTTAGGTCAAAGCACAGCCCCAGTGAGAGAGAGAGATTTCTGTCTGTTGTAACAGCATAGCAGAACCCTTCAATAAACTGGTATTGCTCTCAACCACAACAAAATAATTAAAAATAAAGTCTGTAGAGTATGCGATTCTGTTCAGAGGAAGCACTGAACAGAAAAAAAACCAACACAGTTATATACACACACATTGTTTCGCTCACTGAACATACACATGTAAAGATACATATTTGAACCGCTTTCTGTCAGCACCTACACTAGGTGATATTATTTACTGTTCCTTTGTCATCTTCTAAGATTGGGCTTCTTATATTCAATGCACCAGCCCAGCAAGGGAAGAGAGCAATTGTTACCTTAGATCCTTTTAAGAGCCTCTCTCATGCCTCACTGCTGCAATGCACAATAAAAGGAAGCAAAACATGAACTACTTAAAAACAATGCAGAGTCAATGGGGCTCATTACATGTAGTGAAAGTTCAGAGATTATTTATTTTGTCGTGGGCATTGATACAACGGTATCGTGGGGTACATAACATCTATTTCAAGGAAAGCAGCCTCTCTGGTAGCATCCTAACAGATTTGGGAGGGCAACCATTGGCAAGAATGGCATGGGAGCTATTTGGTGACAGAAAGGGGTGTTACTTGCAGAGTCTCGCATGGGGAGAGAACACTGCACTTTATGCCAAGCCATTGACGTATGCTTAATGGTTTCTGTGTCAAAGTGTCTTACTGCTGATGTGGGGACCTGCACGTGTTTGCTCATCTCAGCAGTTCTGCTCCAAATACGGGAAAATGAATACAGACTTCAATTTCTGAGAGCTGGACCAAGTGGCATAACCAAGCAGAGCCCTATGCTTACTGCTACAAACTTGGCAGTGAGCTGTTGCAGGTGATTCAGGTGTTGAGCATCTGGAGTAGAATAAGAGTTCAATGAATTCCTGTTGTTTGTTTTGGTTGTCCTGGACCTGTAAGTCCTGTTACTCCCTTGGACTAGTACACTCCCTTAAATACAACCGAGCTCCTGACAGGGAAATCATCTGTTGTGTTCTTTTCAGGGAATTCCTTGGCATTCCAACAGAGAGATAATTCTCCTCTTAATAGATGCATATCAGTGAACCTCTCCCCATTGGAAGCTCTCTACTGAGTGCAAGACTTTGCTCCAAAAACTAAAATGCGCCATTAAAAAAAAAAAGAAATTAAAAAAGAATCTATACTGTATCTGTAAAATTGTGAAGGATCTTGAGGTTCCTCTCATGCTCTCTTCCTTCCTTGAACAGCATATATACAATATCAGGCCAAAGCCAAGGGCTCTTCTGTCGCTGTTGTATTAGATCACTCATCCTAGGGGCACAACAATAACATCATGTAACATTTCTTGACAAAAAACAAATTTACAGCACACTTTCAAGAATGAAAAAAAAAGTTCTACCTCCCCCAGTGAAGCAGAATTTAACATATTGTGTGGGTTTAACCCCGTTCATCTGAAGGGAAAGCTGTTCAAATTTGTTTCCTGATTTTAAACCATCTCAAAATTTCTGTCACCTGTCCCAGGATCACCGTGATTTATATCTTTAAGTATTCGTCTCTGAGAAGGAGAGAGCATATTCTCATCTAGTTGTAATCCTCTTGAAACAGACATATTAAGTCATCCTGTCCAGTCCCACTCCACATCAGTAAAGCATTGACCATGCTGAAAAGACATGGATATCCTGCAAAGACTACTCATGCCAGGGTTCCAAAATGTCTGCCCTGAGACCTCAAACAGCCATCTGAAAGCATTACCTTCCTACTTGACTGTCCAGATACCATATGTGCCAGACATCACATGAAAAGTATTTAAAATAAAGAATATGAGACTAAGTATGCTCAAACACAACTGGAGTACAACTGCAAGGGCTGCTTGTCATTGCTATTCGGCTCTTGCACATGCTTTTGGTTGCAGAAGAGACTTTGAGGAGCAATTATTACACTTAGGCCAACTTCGGGTCCACTTGTGGTACCAATTTGGGAAAGACCAAGGAACAGATGGTTCCTTTTTTGTAACACACCTGTCTCAACAAGCCCCATCTAAGGCTAGGGGTGAGGTGCCACAAGCAGCTACATCTCATCTAGGCTGACACACCAGTGTGATAGGAATATAGACCATACTTTTCCTAATCCACTGGACAGTCACATACAATTTGAATGCTGTAAGTACTGCAGTGAACTGCACAGCAGCAGCGCCTCAGCTTTAACATGCTCCCTAAAAATGCACCCTCCCAATTCTGCAGCTCCATTTTATTTTTTTTAACTTCTTGGACCAATGGATTCACTGAATGGCAGCTGACAAGTCAAAGCCTCAGCCTCCCATTGCATATACACATACCACAAAATGCAATAAAATCTGGAGGAGTTTTCCCTACCTTCTTGGCTTTCTGCCTTCATCCGTGATGCCCTGGCCCTCCCTCCTGGCCCACAGCAGATTAACTCCTCACACCAGCAGCACCACCTCCAGCCCAACTACAAAGTACCCAAGGAAAATGTCCATTTACCTGTAGATAGCATGAACATACTCAGAATTCTTATTCTTCTGAGCACTCACATTCTTGCCCATTGCTGTTTCTAGAGGAGGAAGTCAACGGTTCACATGTGCGAAGTGAAATGCAGAGTTAAATGCAGCTTTTATGTTACTACTGCTCCCAGTTTCTGACTGTCACCACACATCCCTTTCCAGGTGATGAGCTCACTTTACATTTCCATGCCCAAGAACCCTGCTCCTTAACACAACCCCACTTCAGAGTGCCACCTGTGCCCTGCCCATCCCACAAACTCACCTGCTCAGATGCACACAAAACACCCAGGGAGAAAGGACAGCCTTTGGAAGATAGAAATGCATTCACACAATACCCAGGGACATTCCTCTTCAAACCATCTCCTCGCACAACACAGCCACACTCACAAGCCTCTGCGTCATTCACAGCCCTGCCACAATAACTGAAAAGGACTTACCACAGATGATATCAAGGGCACACAGAGTAATGTCCATAAAGACATCAAATGGTTCCTTGTCAACATGCTTCTCAAGTTTCTCCAACAAAATACCTCCTTGTTCATTCATAACCTCTAGAAAGTCAGTTAAGATTGCGAAGTGGAATGTGGGAGTTATCATCTTCCTCCGTGACCGCCACTTGCCTCCAGTGCTGCAAAATTAACAGGAAGAAGGAAGGGTTAAAAGCACCAAGTCAGAAATAAAACCCTCACCATCACAGGAGTACACTGCAGCCTGGAACACCTTCACAGATAGATATGCTGTAGATGACTCTTCAAGCTGTCCATTGCACTCCCCAGAACGGGCAAATGGAAATATTTCTTGCTCCAGCTCGCTCTCTCACCATTCTATAGCTGCTTGCAGCAAAAGGAGATGCCAAAAAGCCTTCAGCCAATACAGCCTCATGGTTGTTCAGTGCACATCAGAGGGATGGAGCAGAAACCATCTATTCAGCATCAATGCTTCAACTCATCACATTGTCTCTCTGAACCACCACCCGTGCTCACCTTCATCTGCTGAATGGAAATGAGGATTGCAGAATTGTCCACAGACATTATGCAAATGACTGTCTCAAGGTCTGGCTACAAAGTACTTCCTTGGAGGCAGGCAACCACTTCCCACATGTCAATGAAAGAGCACGGAGCCACAGCAGCTGATATCAGCTTCATGGGGACTCTTGTTTGCTTTTTCTGAATTACATGGCCCACTGGCACACAGCTGGCAGCTCTGCTTACAGGGTAAACCATCACACCACTTCTCCTGTTAACCTGCTACTGGGGCCCTCCTCAGGCCAGCTTATCTGTTTGCTGTCTACTGCTGCTGCCCTTCATCAGCAGAGACTGGAATATTCTCCTCCATTATGTTTCTGCAAGCATAAGGAAGGCAAAACACCTCTAAAAGTGTACTGGAGACAAAACAACCAGTAAGGAGGAAGACTAACAGTGAGGATACACCAGGCCTGATGCCCACAGACCTCAACTCTCTACACTTTGCTACTGACTACTGCCTTCTTAAGGGCCATGAACAAAACTCAGGAGAAAAGGCATTCCTCAACCTCTCACATAAATTTGCTCATCCCACACCATGTGATCACAGCTGGCTTTTACAACACTATGATCCCATCATGAAGCCTGAGGAGTTCACCTCTGAGGGCTCCAAACAGGCAAAGCTCCACTATTAACAGGGGGACCTTGACCTTCTCGCAAAAACACAGAAGAGGCACAAAGGCACCAAAGCCACTCTTCACTCACCTTACTCTGACTCAAATATCTGCATCATCCAGACCAAACCTTCCTTGACCCTCCCAAGACTGGAGGACACCAAACCCTTACATCACTGCTCCTCCCTCTCTCCACTCCTGACTTGCACTTTTACCCAGTCTTGCATCTTATGTGGAGGAAGGAATCGCAAGGAATGTAATGGTCTTCTACACCTACCATCTACATCTCTGTTCAGAGATACACACAGCATCCCTGCCTCCAAGCCCTGTTCCTATCATATACGCTGCAAATTTCAAAAAGACAGCAATGCACCTGCATTTCACTATACCTTGTCAGAAGTCCAGTACCCAGCCAGGGCTGCAGAAATTTGTACAAGTATGATTTTTCTATATGTTTTGAACTGCTCAGAATAACCTGCCAGAAAAATTAAAGGAAAGGAAAAAAAACATCACTTGTTAGATGAAGAGCGATTTCTTCAGCTGAGATTATGTCACACAACCTCAGTTCCTCCACAAAAATGCCCCGAGCCCCAGTAAAATGCACAATATTTCAGTACAAGCTGGTACACAGGGGGAACATTGAGTTCACACCCTCAGTCTTTCAGCAAGTACCCCAATCCTGAGAAACAATGAAATACTCAAAAACTACCACTCCCACTCCCCTTATCTTCCTGAAAAAGAAAAACCTGTGTTACAAAGTAACAGGCAAACCTCAGAGAAAACCCAGTGGTTTCCAGCCTTAACCAAACTCACAAGAAGTACCACCTCTTCAATAAACACTCCAACAAAGAAACAACTCTATCTTCCCAGTTCAGGGACAATCATTGCCAGTAGCGAAACTAACAACTACACTTAGTGGCATCAAGACAGACCCACCAAGTTCTAATGCAAACGTCATTCAGACACAAGCATTCCAACCTGCATTTCATAATGTTCTACCCCTGTTTCAGGGGTCCCATCCTCCCTGCTATCTGCTCGTCTGTTCTGATCTTGGGAGCAGAAGCTTTCACACATGCGAAAACAAAGCTGAAGGAGATGCTTCTTTGTATAAAACATACTGAGTCACTGCTTTCATTTCCTGGACATCGTCAGTATTTATTTTCTTCCAAAACTAAGGCTTTTTATATTCTTCTGCTTTTCCTCTTTCTTTAGCACTGGGTCAGAGGATAGTCTCAAGTAAAATGAGTCCAAGCCCTATTTTGCAAAAATTACGTTGACAGAATAGAAACTAACAGGTTGGACACTGCTTTGCATGACAGCAGAATAGACAAGGAGACAAGCACACTCACCTCCACATTGTCAGGGTGATACAAAATCACGACAGGCAACGGTCCTAGCCAAAGTTTGAACAATGGCAAACTCCTGAACTCTTGAACGTAAACTTGTAGTTGCTTAAAAAAAGCTGGAATGAAAAAAGAGTAGAATTTTTTAAAAAAGGGGTTTTGCTGAATAAGTAAGACTTCTGTAATGAACTGTTTTCCACCATATGCCCTGTAATTATATTTTTGTTGTAGTTTTAGCTTGCTACTATGACTATGCAGCATATTTTGCACCTATCTATTAGCGGTACTGCAGGAGCATTTCTTTATGGCTACACGCTTGAAGGTGCTCTATTCTAGAGAAACCCCTCCTAGTTGTAGATAAATGTGCTGGTTGTGGCTGGGATAGAGTTAATTTTCTTCATAGGTTACAGTTTGGATTTGTGCTAGAAACAATGTTGATAATACAGGTATGTTTTAGTTATTGCTGAGCAGTGCTTACACAGAGTCAAGGCTTTTTCTGCTCCTCACCCCACCCCACCAGCGAGCAGGCTGGGGGTGCACAAGAAGCTGGGAGGGGACACAGCCGGGACAGCTGACCCCACCTGACCAAAGGGGGGATGTTCCATACCATATGACATCATGCTCAGCATATAAAGCTGGGGGAAGAAGAAGGAAGGGGGGGATGTTTGGAGTGATGGCATTTGTCCTCCCAAGAAACCATTACACATGATGCAGCCCTGCTTTCCTGGAGATGGATGAACACCTGCCTGTCAACGGGAAGTGGTGAATGAATTCCTTGTTTTGCTTTGCTTGCGTTCATGGCTGTTGCTTTCCCTATTAAACTGTCTTTATCTCAACCCACGAGTTTTCTCACTTTTACTCTTCCGACTCTCTTCCCCGTCCCACCGTGGGGGATTCGCCCCCCCCTCCCACTGTGGGGGAGCGAGCGGCTGCGTGGGGCTTAGTTGCCGGCTGGGGTTTAACCACGACAATAGGGCAGTTTGGTTTAAGCAGTCTCAACGCACTGCAGCACAGGCCTTCTGCATTGCAATGCTCTTCGTTAACAATTAGAGCCAAAGCAAATTTTATCAAGGCTATGCTTACATTGTGGCTTTCTGACACTAGCCAAAAAGCTATTATCAAGATGCTTCTTTATTTTTCAAGTACAGGATTGAGCCTTTTCCCCGCTGAGACCTCATTGACAGGTAACAGGTACTACCTTTGTGGTGCACACACAAGGGATGCTGTGCACAGTAATGGCAAAGCACTGCGCAGGAACCAGTATCACTTTAAATGTCTAGTTTCTGATAGCTGGACTCCTAAAGAAAATCTTTGGAGCCCTTACACCATTACTGTTTGTCTGCCATCAAATTCTTCTTAATGCAACATGCTTAAATCGCCTCATGCTCTCGCAGCCGTAACCATCAGTGACAGTTTGCAATTCTAGTAGGAGCTTTTGACAGCTGGCTGCTCCAGGATTAGACTTCACTCTTGTCCTTTTAGCAACCTTTCTGAAGGGTAAGTGACTGCTTACGGGACCCACTGTGGAGCTGTCAATTCAGATGTCCCCACCTCTAAGGGCACAAAGACTCATAGGATCATTTATGCCATGGATCACCTGAGAGATACCACTTATTGTCCAGCTGGACTTCATGTCAGTGAGCTCAGCAGTCCAGCTAATTCTCTACCCACATTATTATCCACATCTCATCAGTTTAGCTATACAGAAAGCACAGGAGATGATATAAAAGACCTCACTGAATCAAATTAAAAACTACCTACTGCTCTTCCCTTGCTCACAGATCCAGATACCACAGAGGGCAAGCTGGTTCATTCTGCAGTTCTAGAGGAGGTGGCCGCTGTCAGGATGTTCAAGGATTAAACACGCCTCTGCCCTTTCAGAAACCAGACTGAACAAGAAATGACTGCCTCCAAGGCCTCTGCAGAGTTGAAAATCCAAAGGTCCTCAAATCAAAGGGGGGGAAAAAATGGAAAAAACCCCCTAGTATCCAACAGATACCCAAATACAGCATTCCCTAGTCTAATGACATTTCATCCAAAAGGATTAAGAATGTCAGATTATTTTGATTTTTTAAAATATTTTTCCTAACAGCACCATGATTAAAATACCACAATTTTCCAGCATTTGGCTACTAATATTAACAAATAAAATCACTATCAGATGAAAAACCATTTTTCTTTCTGCTATACAACCTTATACTTTTTTCTAAAAGCTATCTTTTTTTGGTTACATTTTTAATGAAAAAGATTATAAACCACAAACTTCACTCATTTTTACATAAACAAACAAGAACAAAGATGGATGGTCATGGACTTTAAAGCATAGGGGTTATGTGACTCACTCACAGAGGAAATTATGAGACTCCACAGAACAGAAGAGTCTCCATGAAACTGTTTTCCAGAGAAAGAGAAGCAATGTTTTTCTGGTTTGGGGGTTTTTTGGGTGGTTGGTTGGTTTGGTTTTTTCTAATAAGATTGAAAAAGAAGGAGGGGAAAAAAAAAAAAAAAGAGAAAAAAGATTTGTCACTCAGTCAGGCTCATATACACATCCTATGATCCTGCTACTGTTTCCCCAAAGCCACTTCAGGGAAAGCTGCTTGCCCTCACTTCCACCAAAGAAAGATCTCTCACATCTGTATTGAGAGACAGGGTTGGATCCTGAGGAAAGATGTGACTGTGTGCCCTTATGAACAGAGGGCTCATGTCTCAGCAAGTGTCAGCATGGGGCAATGCCCGTGCTGCAGTTGTCCTTGGCTTCACCACACTCGCATGACCCAGCTGCACACTCTTCTGGCAGCACACCTGCCAGCTCAGCCCGGAACACGTGTGCACAGAGCAGACCAGGCACCAGAAACACACTCAGAAGAGTCTGCTGACAGCACAGCCAGAGCTGCCTTCACACCACAGACTCTTCAAGAAATGTACTCCTGTGCACAACCGAGTAACTAATGGGAATGCAATGTGTAAGCGCGCTTCTGCTCTCTCAGGCACCTGGCAAAAAGTACCATTGATCAACGTGAGCATTGAAAAGTTTGCTTTTGAGGGAGGTACTGCAAATACTCAGCAAGTTCTTTTGTACCTAATGCATAAATCTAAGGCACAGCTAATTCCAAAAACAATCCAGCAGCTCAGCATGCTGAAGTCCCTTGCACATGCTCAGCTGAGGGGAGATCATTGTTTAAAGAACTATTTTTCCCTCCCGAGCGAAAAGGTTTCTTTGGAACACAGCTAATTGCCATGGGGACAGAGTGCTCTGTGTCCTGAAACTGCACTTCCTGTAAGAGCATCCAGCATGCCTCCCTGACGCAGAAATGCATTCCACAGCATTCATGCTCCGCCTCGCCAACAAGTGGAAACGGGTTCGAGTCCAGCATCAGCATCTGGAAGCCACTGCCAGACTGACCCTCCAGCTAATCTTTGACTGATACCAACCCTGCATTTACGCAGTTCCTCTCCTTTTCCCTCCACTGCCCACTTCTCACGCAATTCCCCTCTGCGGGTCACCCACAGCCCCAGAGAGACCTAAAGCCTGTGGCACACCCTACAACCCACCCCAGCCAGCCATAGCTTGACCACCCAAGCACCTCACCAGCGCTGGCTCCCCCAGCGAAACCCCCCGGAGTGCAGGGACCTCACAGCTGGGCTACAGCACAAGCTGCCCTTACCTCGTCCCTCCCGCTCCAGGAGTAGAGCATTTCCCAGCACGGGATAGCAAGGGCTGATACCTGGGATCGGCTTCGTCACCCACCATTGCCTCCAGTAATCCACCAGGCAGGGCAGGGAGCACGCAGCCACAACTGTCAACAGCAGAGCAATGACCCCAGCCCCCAAATGCAGCAGCTGGGGTCCCTCTGCGGCTTCCTGCACAACCTCCATTGCCACCTCCCAGCCTCCTGCTCCAAGCCGTGGTCCCTACTGGGAAACCAGCACTGCCTGTTACCTACTGCTGCTGCGCTGCAGCGAACGGAGTGTGCCCGGACCCAGGCCACAAGAGCAGGAGGTGGAGCCGTCACATGGCCTGAGACGCAGCTTCCTCCCAGGAAAACAAATAAGGATGTAAAAAACACACATACACAGAGGCTGCCTGCAAGCACTTTATGACATCAGAGCAGCCCCAGGGAACGGTGCCATTTCCTTGCCCTCACTTGACTCCTCTGACTGAAGCGTAGAGTAAGTTCTTCGCAATACCTGGCCTGTGCAATACCTCAGAAGGAAAAGACACAAGCCACTGGCAAGAGAAGAAACATCTTTTTGCTGATTTGGAGAGGATGGGTTTTTGCAAGACTGCCTTTCTCCATCTGTTTTCAGATGCTCAGGGAACACGGGTTCGCCGTACAGAACTGCTCCAGTGCTCTCCAACACAATGCATGACGGGTTTCAAGTGCTTCAAGATACGACGCACCTTTAAGTTGGGTTGATGGCTCAAAGGGGTTACACAAACCAGAGCCCACACAGACCCACAATCAAGCGCAGCACCACAAAGCACACTGATGCTTCTCTGCTCAAATGTCTTTTGCTGATCTCACTGTTGAATGCTTAGTCACAGGTTAACGGGTGCCAGTAACACAACTGGCAGCAGCAACACCTGTGTCACAACTTGCAAAGTGCTTGGATAGAAGAGGTGCCATACCCACCATAAACGCTGCTGCCCGTCATGCCTCAGGAGGAGCCAGGGTTTCTTCCCGCTGCTGCAGGGCTGCTGAGCGACTGCTCCTCAAAGCCTCCAATGCCCAGAAACCTTGTTGTCAAACAGAAGTTTGGTGAAAAGACAACACGGTTCACACTCAACCTGCAAAACCTATCCCCTGAATATACCACAAAAGCTTCTTTTAGTCATGGCCATGTTTCTCCTCTCTGTTTTGTACCAAAATTCATCAGCATTTTTAGTAAACCAACAAACAGCATAAACAAAGCAACTAAGTTAAGAAACACAAACAGAGAAAGCTCAGAACATCAGAGGCTAAGGAAGGGCTGATGGCCCTTGGCAGCAGAGGGGAGTAAATTCTGGCACTTTGTTCCTGCAGTCTCCTAGCAAACACTTTATCATAAATGCTGACCATTGCATTTTTCTGCATGGTAAACAGCTGGAAGTGAACTTTGCTACTCTTGCTGTTATTTGTAATGGTTTGTGACAGAAAGTAGCAGGTATGTACTCCGTCTTGTAAATGCATAAGGCAAGCTACATTGCCATCAGTCCCCTCTTTTGTTCGGGTGACATCCCAGGAAGGAAGCAAGCGTGCAGAATTAAAAAGCTCAACTTCTATCTTTGTAACATGGAAATGAGCTGGGTAATTATACCCTCCTCTTTAAAAAAACCTTGCAGTTTGTTGCCTTCACGGAGTTGATAACTAGACGATGCGGCAAATTGTGACTGAACCAAAATCTGTGTTCCTGACTGCTAATAATTCCTTCTGCAGAAAAGACTGTGAGAAACAGTGAAACAGCAGGGATAAAGTGAAAAAACACAGGGAAAGCGGTAGGGAACACAACAAAAAAGTATTGCAAAATCCTACCAGCCGCTGGCAATGATGATGCTGCTACTAACAAAAGGCAGCAGCTACACTGGAATGAGACTTAAAAGATACCCAAGAAAGAAGAAATGAGAGGTCTGGCATCTCTGAGGCCTAATTATGTCACTAAGACTTGCAATCATTATGAATCTTGGAGGATGTTCTGTAGGAGAGGAGTTTTCTACCAGATTGCCATTAGAATTCCTTTTTCACCCAGAGAGCTATTTGCTCAGTGTTGTGTTTCAGCAGGCACTCCACCGGTTAAGTGAATCTTCCCTTTTGTAAATGCATGTAACAGTGCAAATCTGCTTTTACTCAGCCTCCCACCTAAGTGAGGCTTTTATTATAAAGCCTCTCACCGATCTGCCCGTGCTGACAGAAGGCAGGCATCCTGTAAGGCGGCTACGTCAGCCCACAAGCACAGTAGTAAGACAGACTTCTTCTGGTCCCTAGAATGCAGGTCTGGATTCTTCGATAAGGAAATCCATACAATCATTGTTACCAGCAAGAAAAACAAAAACCCCAAGCAAAGCAAGGGTAAAATGAATCTGATACCACAGAAACAAGAGGGAAGTACACAACACATTCTGAAAAACTGTGGTGTGCTCTACGCCAGTCGCTTGCCCCAGCCAAGACATATCTGACATTTTTGCCATCTCTTGCAAACACACAGCATCCACAGTAAGAAAGACTAACCAGTTCCTAACTTTGCAAATGATATGTAGTGATTGCAATTAGGAAAGGTTTTCCTTAGGAAGAGCTTCCCTCTTTCTCAACGTACACAATTAAAACATTATTAAACTTTATGTAGAAAGTTATTCGCACTGAAAAAAGTCAATTTGTAGTCCGCAACAGCCATCACCTGCACAAAGGAAATACACCGCAGCATGTCGCTATCTGAAAAGACACCATCAGTGCTGAACAGCTCAGAGATCTCCCCCATCCTCAGAGAATTTTAAGGCCTGATGCTGAACTTCATACCACTGTAGCCCAAAGACCTAGGCTTCAAAGCCCAAAACTTGAGGAAGACTCCAGCTTCAAATCCTTCTGTGGATTATCTTTCCTCACACAGGTAAAGGAGATTAACTGCATTTGAGAAACAGAGACCACAGCTATGTTTTTCAGAGACAGCCTGATTGCTGGGATGCTCACCTCAATCAAGCATACCTTGCTATGGTTTCTGCAACCTGGTGTTCACTGTACAGCAGCAACTGCTCTGTTCTGCAGCCATCATTTGGGACTCCTTCACAATATGAAGTTTTGCATGAATGAATAATCTCTAACAGAATACACAAGTTTGCCACCTCTCTAAGAAACCAAAATCTTCCACGCCAGGAAGATAATATGTCAGGATAATAACATGGCTTGCAACAAAGCAGGCTGCAGCTTGGGTCACCGCTCATCCCCCAGAACACAGCTTTACACTCTTGTAAAGCAATTCTGGTAACGTACCAGTGATGTCGCCATTAATACTAAATAGCTACCAAAGCATCACATGTATGTTCATTCATCTGTGTGTCAAGGCAAAAGCATATTCCCAAGTTGGATGGCCACAACCCACTCCAAGGTCATGGGTGGAGCTTCTGCCCACTGTTCTGTGGTTTGGCTAGATCCTGCAGGACCTCTTCCTTGCAAAACTCTAGCAAATTCAAAGAAAGCATTTAGCAGCATGCTGCACATTACATGAAGCAAGACAGAGGTCATAGAACACAAATAAAAGCTTCAGTTTAACATCTGGAAGAACTTGTGATGGTGAGTCACAGAAACGCACAAGACTGCGAATCTGCCCACACACACTCCTGCAACACGGGAGATTTGCTCTAGGAAATGCACTGTCCACATCTGATGTGCATGCATACACACAGCAGTAGCTGACCAGCCTGTTAGTAGCTGTGGTGGGCTAGCCTTGGCCAGCAGCCAGACACCCACCCATCCACTCATTCGCTCCCCTTCCTCAACAGGACAGGGGGAGAATACAGGATGACAAAGCTCATGGGTCACAATAAAGACTGGGAGATGGCTTCTTAGTTACCATCATGGGCAAAACAGGTTCAACCCGGTGAAATTCAATTTATTGCCAATTAAAACCAGAGAGTTGGGAAATGAGAAACAAAGACAAAGAAGTTCCTCTCTGCTGCTCCCGCCTTCTCCTCACACTCTTCTCCTGCTCCAGCATGGGTCCATTCCATGGGCTACAGTCCTTGAAGACAGACCTCCTCCAGGACGGTTTTTCCATGGGCTGCTGGGGAATCTTTGTTCTGGTGCCTGGAGTACCTCCTCCCCCTCCTTCATTGACATTGGTGTTCACACTGCTGTTTCATGCTCTCTTTCCCCCCTCTCCTACTCTACCTGTCTGGCATTTCTTTTTTTTTTTTCCCCTCCTTTAAATACATTTTCACAGATGTGCCACCAGCTTGGCTGATAGGCTCAGCTAAGTCCTGCAGCAGGTCCATTATGGAGCCAGCAGGAAACAGCTGTGTTCTCTTCTCCAGCCTTTTCTCACAGAGGCCACCCCAACAGCATCACCACTGCCAACACCTGGACACTTACACCCAGCTGAAAAGCCTACTGTGGAAACCATTGCAAGACTAACAGGGAAAATGGGGGTAAATTTCCTCACATTGCCCCCTAGTGAGACCAGAGACATCAGCTACCAAGGGATGGATACCATCAGCAATGTTAAATATCTGGAAAGCATACCTTCCGTCGCAATTTTCAGGGAAGAATCTCTCAGGCCAGAAACTTCTCCGGGCTGGGGAAGATCTTGGGGTTTCTGTGCAGGGCATAAGTTATGACAAGAATATTTATGCCTTTTGCTACCCTCCTGAAAAAAAAAGGGAAAGGGAGAAGAAGGGTCAAAACAACAGTGACTTTCTATAAACTGCTTCACAGTAAAAAAGAGAAAACCCCCACCCTTTACTTGGGAAACCTTCTCAGTACTCTCTCCTGCAGACCTTCCAGCACCCATCCCAACCACCTCTAGCTACGTAAAGCTCCATAATGGCCACAAAACACGTTCCTACTTTCACTTCTTCAACCTTGATAAAGGAGGAATGGAAAACGTACCAAACACCTTGTCCAGTTCTCTGTGAACGTTCTTCTGGGCTTCAAATTACATCCAAGTAGCAGGCACAGCTGCTGTATCATAACAGCTGCTGTTGTATCATGGCCCTAGAGGTCCAGATTTACAAAGACATTCACTTCAACACCATTCCTGTGCACAAGTAGGCTTCGTAAATACTTAGGTGTGCATTAGTCCCACACCATGAGAAAAACAAAAATCAAGAGTGAAGAACTCTGTCCAACTCTTTTGATTATCAGGATGTAAGATGACCTGTGATTGTCAGGTGCCTGAAAACTGACCAA